TAACCAGATTCGAAAAATGGATTTTTTATGAAAATTCCAAGTTCTCTCTTCTCTCTCAAGCAGCTGCAACCACCTCTGAACTTCTAGGGCACATTCTTGGCTTTTATGTGGTGGGTTCTACATGTCCATGCAAGCCCATGTTGGCAGCATTTGTGTTTTCAAATTTTTTGGCAAAAAAAATCATTTGTACACCACACACGGCCCTCCATTCACTTTGGGGTCAGCATTAGCTTACTCGTGTAGAAAACAAATGGAATGATTTTGGTCATGTAGGATCCATTGGTACAAGGTTTTGCAACATCACTTTTAAGGTAACAATTTTGAAAATATGGCATGTAATATGTACCTTGGTTGGTTCCAAAATGGTAAGGATTTACAAGACACAAAGTTTGATGTCATGTGGTGCCAAAAACTTCAATACAAGGTCATTTGGTGACTTGTAAATGAAGAAAATCAATTCATGCTTAAAAGTCACTTTTTCAAGCTTAAAATGGTCCATATGATCACATAATCCATCAAACTTCATGGAAATCAAGCTCATGATGAAGTTGAATCAATGTGGCACAACATTCATGTGGCACAAAATTGGATTTGAAGTCTCAAAGTTCATGAAATCGACCATTGAAGAAAATGACTTATAATAAACTTTTCCAAAATACTCTTGCCTTGTGAGGTCCATAACTTGAGATGTAAAGAGGACTTCTAGGACTTTTTGGAAAGCTAAGATCATAAGGAACAACTTTCATGTTTGCTTGAAAGTGAGGAGAAACTTGATTTCATGCCAAAAATGCCTTAGAAGTGAGTTGACATTTAGTTGACCAAAATTCTCTTCATCCGAGGACACCAAATTGTTGACATCATAACTTGAGATGTACAAACTCAATGGATGAGTTCTTGTACTCAAAAGAAAGCTTAAATGATGATTAACAAGTCTCATGTTTTCATAAAAGCGAGATTGAGTTTGCATCATAGGGAAAAAATGTCCTTGAAGTTGGGTACCAAAGAAGGGGATTTTACACTGAAATCATCTGAAACCCTAATTTAGCAACTCCTTGAACTCTTGAGTCTCCTTGATTTGATCTTATCATGACATCCTAGATGCTTTAGGATGGCCTCCCATGGCTCAAAGACCTAGAACCAAGTTTTGAACCCCCTCAAGTCCACAGTTGACTTGTGGTTGACCAGATGAAACCCTAATTCCACATTCTTTGACTGAGGCTCTTGCAGATGAAATGAATGACTACACAAGCTTCACAAAGCCCTTTCAAGGTACACAATGAGCTTTTAAATCATGTCTTATCCAAGTAAGTGACCTCATGATCCTCTGATGACCCTCAAGATAGGAGGTTACAGCCATACACAAACCTCTCCTCTCAAGGAGCTTTAAAACTCAATCTTGATAGTAATGAAACCCTGATGGCTTGCACATGATACCTTTGCTTGAGCTTGAACATGAAGCTCTCCTCTTAAATGGCACAACAACTCTTGATCCCCTGTTAAGAACCAATGATATGCAAATGCAAATGCTAAAATGAAATGAAACACAAGCCAAGTTAGAAAAGAAGGTGATAAGAATGGATCGGATCCCATAAATGATGATGGAAATGTGTTAGTTAATAGAGATATTATTAGACCTAAACAATGGAGGGTATGTGTGAGAAAGAATAGGAAACTCCACAAATAAATAGGAGTTAGTTTAGGTATTATTCTCCATATAAATAGTAGTTAGTTTATGGATTATTCTCCATATAAAGAGGAGTGTATGGGGCAATAGTTAGACATTGATTGATTTTCTGTTTTTGATATTAGGGTTTGGGCAGTGAGAGAATTGTTTCCCTGACTGAGGAGCAGTAGCTCTAGAATTTATTTTACTTTTACATTCATTAATAAAATACTTTTCTTTATCATATTATATCATACCTCTGTTCTATCAATTGATCCGACCTACCATTGTTCATGCCCAAAGCTCCTAAGATGACTGACCGTGTTTCTGCAGTGGAAGAAAGGTTGGAAGGTGTTGAGGCTAGCATTGCTGCGTTACGAGAGTTCATTGGTGCTGAGATTCAACGTGCAATGGCTCATCGTGAAGTGCTGCAGCCAACCAGTGCGACAGTTTCCTCACCGCTGGATGAGTTTCGTTTATCTGCGAAGAAGGTGGAGTTGCCGGCATTTACCGGTGACGATCCGGTTGCATGGATCACTCGGGCAGAGACATACTTTGAAGTACAACGAATTTCGCAGAATGTTCGTATTCAGTTGACCAAATTGAGTATGGAAGGCCCTACTATCCATTGGTTTAACCTATGGCATGATTCAACAGAGGAATTGTCATGGGAGAACCTCCGTGAGGCGATGATGGTTCGATTTGGAGGTGGGCGTTTGGAGAATCTGTTTGAGGAATTAAAGGAACTAAAACAATCGGGATTAGTAGAGGAATATATTGCTGAATTCGAACTGTATTCTTCACAGTGTGGTCGTTTGCCAGAACAACAGTTTCTAGGTTATTTCAATGGTGGTTTACGTCATGATATTCGTTCTCGTGTGCGTACCTTCAAGCCTCGCAACCGTTACCTAGCAATGCAATTGGCTCGTGATGTTGAAAGTGAATTTGCAGTGGCTTCTAGACAGGGTTCTAGAACACGTTACAAACCGGGTCATGGTTCTTGGACAAAATCTCAAAAGCCTAATTGGGCTTTTCGCGAAGGGGAAGGGAACGGATCTGCAACTCAGACCCAGCCTAATAATTCTTTGGGCAAAACGCGGACTGGTTCGGATTCTGGATCTCAAACCGTCTCGACACGTCCTACCAATTCTACAACATCTTCTCGCCCAAATTTAGGTGACAATTCACGCCGTCAATCTCGTGGTGTTCGCCATCTACCAAGTGCAGAGGTTAATGAGCGTCGTGCGAAAGGACTCTGTTTTCGTTGCAACGAACGATAGGATCCTCTCCATCAATGTGCAACAAGACAGTTACGATTGATTATCTTGGGGGATGACGAAATTGTTAACGATGCAGGAGAGATTGTGGTGTTGGAAGCTGCGACGGAAGAAGAGCTCACACAAGAGGAATTAGAATGTAAAACCATGGGGCTGTTTGGTGTATCCACTAATTCAAATCAGGTCCGGACGATGAAATTGGAGGGATGTTTACAAGGTGCATTAATCCTGGTACTTATTGACAGTGGAGCCACACATAATTTCATATCACCTAAGGTGGTTGAAGCCCTGAGATTGTCTATGGTGCCTTCTAATCCTTTGGGTGTTAAGTTAGGAGATGGTCATCGTGTCCTAACTAGGGGTAGATGCAATGGAACTCAGATGAAAGTGGGATCAGTGCAGATTTGCTTTGATGCTTATGTGTTGGAGTTAGGAGGTGTGGATTTGATTTTAGGAATTGTGTGGCTAGAAACGTTGGGGAAGATGACCATGGATTGGAAAGAAATGTCTATGGAGTTCAACCATAAAGGCAGTATGGTGAAACTACTTGGTCAGGCTGTAGATGATAAGATGGCTACTTTCCAAAGCATTATCACTCCTTCTCGAATGATAGCAGGCTGTGAATGGCCTACCTTGATGGAGGTGTTAGGGTCACCGGTGTCGTGTGTCTCTAATCAACAGACTAAGGAGTTAGAAGGATTGCTGGAGCATTTTGTTTGTGTTTAAAGAAATCCAAGGTCTTCCTCCGTCAAGAAACACTAGTCAAGAAACCAGAGTGGAAGTTGTAGCACAGGAGTTAAGGGACAGAGATGAGGCGTTGCGTCAATTGAAAACTAATTTACTCAAAGCCCAGGAGGACATGAAATTCCAAGCTGACAAGAAACGCAAGGCAGTGCAATTTGAGGTGGGTGATTGGGTTTTCCTCAAATTACGTCCTCATCGACAACAATCAGTTGTGCAAAGAATCCACCAAAAACTGACCCCTAATTCGGTCCGTATCAAATCCTAAAGAAGATAGGGCAGGTTGCTTATAAGTTGAAGTTACTACCAACATCTAAAATACATCCTACCTTTCATGTGTCGCAATTGAAGAAAACGGTGGGCAACTCAGCTACCTATCAGTTTAGAGTCAGAAAAAGGGGACATTACTCCGGCTAAGGTTGTGTCATGGAGGGATAAATTTGATGGTGGACAACATAAGAGAGAATGGTTGATTCAATGGGAAGGGATGGATGTTGGAGATGCTACCTGGGAAGAGGAACTGTTGCTGAAGAGTCAATTCCCTGATCTGCGCCTTGAGGACAAGGCTAATGTTGTAGGTGGGGGTGATGATATGAATGGATCGCATCCCACAAATGATGATGAGAATGTGTTAGTTAATAGAGATATTATTTGACCTAAACAATGGAGGGTATATGTGAGAAAGAATAGGAAACTCCACAAATAAATAGGAGTTAGTTTAGGTATTATTCTCCATATAAATAGGAGTTAGTTTAGGGATTATTCTCCATATTAAGAGGAGTGTATGGGGCAGTAGTTAGGCATTGATTGATTTTTTGTTTTTGATATTAGGGTTTGGGCAGTGAGAGAATTGTTTCTCTGACTGAGGAGCAGTAGCTCTGAAATTTATTTTACTTTCACATTCATTAATAAAATACTTTTCTTTATCATATTATATCATACCTCTCTTCTATCAGAAGGGGTGACTAAATTTTGGGATACAACAACAACCATAAAATACTTGCCACCATATTTATTCGTCACAATCTAAATCGCGATTTCGATAACCTTGATCATTCTAGGCTACTAAACTAACTGTACTTTCAGAGCTGCTCCGACTAAAGCTTGATAAAATTGGTGTGTAGAAACTGCCAAGTACGATTGTGATGATACTTTCTAGTTTATTTGTATAATTTTATGAAGATTGGATTTCTTCAGGCACTCCCTTCAGAAAGAGTGGAATCGCTGATTCACCATGGTGCTTTCCCATAGAAAATATGAGTAGTTTGGTATGTCAAACAGTACTAATGAAATATATATCAGAGCCATAAAACTCTCACCGATAGAGTTAAAGTCTTTGACACACCACCTCTTTCAATTTGTAATTCTATGTTTGAGTTTACACTGTCATCAAGTATAGTCTCCAGTTTCAGGAATTGAGTAATGACCTGCAATAATATCAGAGTTAAACATGAGACCACCAGAACAAGGACCACGAAAACACAATTTTTTGTAGTTTTCAGATGCAAGGAAGTAACTGTTGAAACCAGTCATCAAACACGCGAAAATCTTATAAGTTTACAAAATTATTAAGGGGTCATTTAGGAATCCTGGCAAATAATACTTTTTCATGAACAAATGGATAACAAGAGACATATGAGATAAAAAACAATAACAAATATCAGAAGCAATTCACATTTTTACTTTTCCAAAACTAGCCTCCTTGTCATATAACTTATTTATATCATAAGCAGCAGTTTGGATGTACAACAGTACAATCACTTCCATCCCGATGTGTAACTATAATTTGTTTTCTCATTGCATCAGTCATCCACAACCAAGTATGACCTTTTATGGCCAGCTCACAATTTTTAGAAAAAACATATACCATAAAAAAATCAGTATGTTGGACAACACATTCTAGCTAGCTTATTGTTTATTTTACTAGCTTATAAGCTTGCTGAACAGCTTTGATGTCTTTGGTGAGGAACAATAATGTGGTTTTGGGGAGGAACGTTAGGATTAAAGAGATATTGGGTTCTAGATAGAGAGTAGTAGTTATGCAACTGTTACAGCTATATGCCAGCTGTACAGTTTGTTACAGTTAGTTCAGTTTGTTACAGTTAGTTAGATCTAAGGCTTTATATACCATGCCTTTGTACTCTTTCAATGACAATCAATATATGGGATTTTCATCTTACTTCTTTTCTCTCTCTTATGGTATTATATCATGGTATCAGAGCTTCTTCTTTCCTGATCCAGTAATCTTCATTCATGGCGTCACCGTTTCGCAGCGACGGCGCTTTTCCTTCCGCTCACGTCAAGCTCTCTGTTAAGCTTGATGATAAAAATTTCAAACAGTGGAAGCAGCAAATCGATGGAGTTGTGCGTGGCCACAAGCTTCAACGCTTTGTCACGGTTCCGGTGATTCCGCAGCGTTCGCCGGTGACTTCTGATCCGAATCTTAGCGAAGTCATCGATGAGTATCTTGATTGGGAGCAACAGGATGCTCTTGTCTGCACGTGGCTTCTCTCCACGATTTCTGACTCGCTTCTTCCCAAACTTGTGGATTGTACTCACGCGTGGCAGGTTTGGACGGAAGTTCACCGCTACTTCGCCGTGCAGCTCACGACGAAGGCTCGTCAGCTACGATCTGAACTTCGCCGTCTTTCCAAAGGTAATCTCAATATTGAAGCGTTCATGGCGCGAGTTCGCGAAATCAATGAATCGTTGATTTCAGTTGGAGATCCTGTTCCGATGCGTAACCTAATTGAGATTGTGCTGGATGCGCTTCCTGAGGAGTATGATTCGATTGTTGCTGTTGTCAATAGTAAGGAAGATCTCAGTACGTTGGAGGATCTTGAATCCAGTCTTCTTGCTCATGAATCTCGATTGGAGAAACACAGGAAAGCGATTCTCACTGAACCTGCTTCTGTCAATCTAACGCAGGTTCCGCCGTCTGAATCTTCTTCTCCGGCTGACTCTGTTTCGCAAGCCTCTGACTCCTTTCCAACTGGTACTAGTCATGTTAATGCTCACGCAGAAAGCAGTGGTTACAACAGAGGAGGTCGTTCAGGGGGTGGTGGCGGTCGTTTTGGTCGTCACGGCGGTCGTTTTGGCAAAACTCAGTGTCAAATCTGTCGCAAAAGTGGACACGATGCCTCTGTTTGCTACTACAGGTACACTCAGTCCTCTTCAAAGCCGTTTCCACCGCAACAAGCTCCCTTCAATCCATTTCTGGCAAATGCTCGTCCTGTGTATGCTCCTGTCTTTGGTTATTCCTCACCTAGATCAGCTGCACCACGACCTTCTCCTCCTCAAGCATTTGTGGCTAGTTCTGATCCCAACTTCAGCAACCAATGGTGGTATCCTGACTCAGGTGCCTCACACCATGTTACACCTGATTCTTCCAACGTGCCTGATGCTCAATCTGTGACTGGTTCTGAACAAGTCTTCATGGGAAACGGCCAAGGTTTGTCCATTAACTCTATAGGTTCCATGAAATTTCCCTCCTCTCATCTGTCTCACACACCTCTCATGCTTCACAATTTACTTCTTGTTCCTCACATCACCAAAAACCTCATCAGTGTAAGTAAATTTGCACAAGATAATAAAGTTTTCTTTGAATTTCATCCTTCTTTTTGTCTTGTCAAATCTCAGGGTTCTTCTGAGGTGCTTCTTCATGGTATTGTTGGAGATGATGGTCTTTACAAGTTTCAGATTCCTTCTTCTCAAGTGTCAAAGCCTCTGCCTAGTCTCCATTCTAGCTCAAATTTAGATTTCAATAATTGTAATCCTAGGGCTTCATGTAATACTGTCTCTCATTCCAATGATATTAGTCATACTATTACTGATTGTAATCCTTCATTTTCTGTGAATAAACATGATGTTTCTGCTGTTAATTTGCCTATTATTTACTCTACTGCTAAGTCTGTTCCTACTCTCAGTAAGTATGCTCTGTGGCATACCAGGTTGGGTCATCCCCATCATCAAGTTCTTGCTGAAGTGCTCAAAACCTGCTGCATTTCTCTCTCCTCTAAGTCTGCAGCAGAGTTTTGTTCTGCTTGTTCCTTAGGCAAATCTCACAGACTTCCTACTTCTCTCTCCACTACTGTTTATAATCATCCTTTTGAATTAGTGGTTTGTGATTTATGGGGTCCTGCACCTGTTAAATCTTCAGGTGCCTATACCTACTTTCTCACTTGTGTAGATGCCTTTTCTAGGTTCACTTGGATCTTTCCTCTTAGGCTAAAGTCTGATACCTTCTCTCAGTTTGTTCAGTTCAAAACTATGGTGGAACTTCAGTTCAACCATAAAATCAAAGTTGTTCAAACTAATGGAGGTGGTGAGTTTAGACCTCTCACCAAATATCTCAATGATCTTGGCATTGTGCATCGTTTCACGTGTCCCCATACCCACCATCAGAATGGCATTGTTGAGCGCAAGCATAGACACATAGTTGAAACAGGCTTAGCCTTGCTTGCTCACTCTACCTTGCCCCTTCAAATGTGGGATCATGCCTTTATCACAGCCACTTATCTCATAAACAGACTTCCTAGTGCGTCTCTTGAGCATAAAACTCCCTATTTCAAACTGTTTCACAAGTTTCCTGATTATGCTCACTTAAGAGTTTTTGGTTGTGCCTGTTTTCCTTTTCTTCGTCCTTATAACTCTCACAAATTGGACTTTAGGTCCCAAGAATGTGTTTTTCTTGGTTATTCTACCATTCACAAGTGCCTATCTGCCACCGGGAAAATTTATGTCTCTAGAGATGTCATTTTCAATGAGTTAAAACTTCCCTATCCTTCTCTCTTTCCATCTCCTGCCATTGATCAATCTTTTTCACTCCCCTCTACTCCTTCTTTTTGGTCCTTCCCTCTTGTTCCTAATGATTCTAACTCTGTCACTAGGGCTGTTTCTGCTGTGCCTATCACTCATGTTCCTTCTGTTCCCACTCCACCCTCTCATACACCTTCTGCTGAACTTAGAAATTTCAGTCCCACTCCTGCCAACTCTGCTATTTCTCCTATCTCTGGTTCACCTTCAGTCACTGCAGAATCGGCTACTTCTTCTCCCATTCCTACTACACCTGTCAATTCTTTGTTTGTCACTCCTCTGCAGTCTGATATTGCAGAGGCTCCCACTATTTCCCCTTCTTCTCCTGCCTCTGAGTCCTCCATCAATACTGTACCTCTTCTGCCTAATCCTTCCATTCATGCTCACAATATTCACTCCATGCAAACAAGGTCTAAAAATGGTATTACTAAACCTAAAATTAAACCTACCCTCTTAATTACTCATATGGAACCTAATTCTGTTGGACAAGCCTTGGCCTCTCCTCATTGGCTTCAGGCCATGAAAGATGAGTACACTGCACTGTTAAAGAATCAGACCTGGAACTTGGTGTCTCCACCTGATTCTAGGAAGCCAATTGGCTGCAAGTGGGTATTTAGGGTCAAGGAGAACCCTGATGGAACCATCAACAAATACAAGGCCAGATTAGTGGCCAAAGGGTTTCATAAGCAGGCTGGCAGTGATTTTACAGAGACATTTTCTCCTGTGGTCAAGCCTGTAACTGTCAGGACTGTACTCACTCTTGCTGTGACTCACGGGTGGTCTATACAGCAAATTGATGTGAACAATGCCTTTTTAAATGGCACACTTGTAGAGGAAGTTTACATGCAGCAGCCTCCTGGCTTTGAAGCTGCAGACAAGTCTTTGGTGTGCAAATTAAACAAAGCCATTTATGGCCTGAAGCAGGCTCCTAGAGCCTGGTTTGATAAACTCAAGGGCTCTCTCCTAAGTCATGGTTTTCATGCTAGCAAGTGTGATCCTAGCCTCTTTATTCTCCATACTGGCAGCCTAAGTATTATGGTGTTGGTGTATGTTGATGATATAATTATCACTGGTAATTCTTCTGCCTTCATCAGTGGTTTAATCACCCAGCTAAATTCTGATTTTTCACTTAAACAGCTTGGCAACTTGGATTATTTTCTTGGCATAGAAGTCACTCATCTGCCCAATGGCTCCTTGCTTCTATCCCAAGCCAAATACTTGACAGATTTACTAGCCAAAGTCAATATGATCAATGCCAATGGCATGCCCACACCTATGGTCTCTACCAACAAACTCTCTAGGTTTGGTTCTGAACCTGTCTCTGATCCCACCCAGTTCAGGTCTGTGGTGGGTGCCCTTCAGTATGCTACCCTCACTAGGCCAGAGATCTCCTTTTCTGTCAATAAGGTGTGCCAATTTCTGTCAAATCCTTTGGAAGAGCATTGGAAAGCAGTTAAAAGAATACTAAGATACCTCAGTGGGACTCTGCACTATGGTTTACTAATTCAGCCTGCAGCACCTCACAAACCTCTGTCATTACTTGGTTTCTGTGATGCTGACTGGGCATCAGACCCTAATGACAGAAGGTCAACATCAGGAGCTTGCTTGTTTCTAGGTCCTAATCTCATCTCCTGGTGGTCCAAGAAACAGCAGCTAGTGGCAAGGTCCAGTGCTGAAGCTGAGTACAGGAGTATGGCACAGTTAGCATCTGAAATAATCTGGGTTCAGTCTTTACTGCAGGAACTTCACTGCCGACTTCTTACTCCTAAACTACTGTGTGATAACCTCAGCACTGTGACACTTGCACACAATCCTGTCTTGCACAACCGAACAAAACATATGGAACTGGATATATTTTTTGTACGGGAGAAAGTGATCTCTAAGAGTCTAATTGTGGAGCATGTTCCTGCCCAAGATCAGTGGGCAGATTTGTTGACCAAACCTCTCTCAGCCATCAAGTTTTTACCTCTGCGAGATAAACTGCGAGTGTTCAATAAACTTAGTTTATTAAACACACCCTCAGTTTCTAAGGGGGACTAATAGAGAGTAGTAGTTATGCAACTGTTACAGCTATATGCCAGCTGTACAGTTTGTTGCAGTTAGTTCAGTTTGTTACAGTTAGTTAGATCTAAGGCTTTATATACCATGCCTTTGTACTCTTTCAATGACAATCAATATATGAGATTTTCATCTTACTTCTTTTCTCTCTCTTATGGTATTATATCAGGTTCAACTCCCCTCATTAAAATTACTAACAACAATTCACCAACATTTGTAATTTTTAAAAAAACGTCATTGGTAATTGAAGTAGTGTTTAACTTTATGGTCTTAATATTATCCTTACAATTATAATTTATAATAAAATCTCTAATTTTATCCTCTCTTTCTCTCCCACTCTCATTTTATTGTCTTTTATTTTGTCAAAAGAAAATGAAAAGGATCATTTTTTTGAGGGGGCAGGATTTCCCATCAAACAAACTTACCTCACCATTGACACGAACAAGTACATCACCCGGTTCCAAATGTTTATAGCCTGGACCACCTGGCACCTATACAAGTCAAAGATTAAAGCCGAAGAAATTGAAATGGAATGTCATCGTGGAAAATTAAAATCATACGTAACAATTAGCTTACCGCAGATTCCACAACAAGCATTCCAGTTTCACTGATAGGAGAAGCATGCCGTACTGTCTAAAAGAATCAAATACAGTGTAAATAATGCAGGGCGTATTTATGGATATTTTGACTTGATAAAGATATAAAATGAAAAACCGAAGACTAGAACAACCTGCTCTGTCTCACTTCTAAGGCCAAGTCGACGAGTCTCATCAAACCCTTTATGAAGAAAAGTCACCTGTATCATATTTTACACGGTCAGTTATTGCCTCATATCTAAAGGAAACATCCACTTAATTAACCCAAAAAAAAAAAAACTCTGCAGTCATTTAATTTAATATGAAAAGAGAAAACTTGAGCACATAAGCAGATTAAGGATGAAAGGGAAAAAAAAAACATAAAGTACAAAATTAGAAACCCCTACAATCATCTCATCCACAATCTAAACAAGTATAATGAGTAGACAAATGGGAAAAAATGCTATTCAACTTATGGCTTACTGTCATTCAGAAATTAATAGTGAATAACGAGAAAAACATTAAAGGAAGAACCTTTGAAGAATATTTTCAAGGTCAAACCTGAAGTGTACCACGAGGTATAGAAACTGCCATCCATTTATCAACATATGTTTCACTCCCCTTTTGAAGAAACTTTAATGCCCTCACAACCTGAAAAGTAAATCACTGTAATTAGTTGCTCCCTTTTCTCAATTGAATGAGTTACTACCCACTAGAAGAGCCATGCTTCTGCTTGGTTACTACATGAAGTGTCAGACAAGTTCAACAAATATTTATTAAGAGCTCACTCGTTCTAGAGGTAAAAAGAATGCTGATGCACTTGTTGTCTTGCTCCCAGCATTTAGGCCAACTGCCCTGCCTTGCCAATCTATAACTGGGGAACCACTTGATCCTCCTTTGGTCCCAGATGCTGCCTGTAAAGCAATATAAAAAATCATTTAGTCGCAATCAAGTAATGACCAACTTTTAATTTGCTACACACTCATTACGAGAGTCGGACCATGTAAAGTTACTGTAAACCCGTATCACCGTGGCTTAGAACTAGAGGTGGCAATAGGATCCATTAAGACAAAATTCATCCAATCCATCTGTTAATATTTATAAATATATATAGTGTTAAGAATATTTGTATATAGAATAGTCCCACATCGACTATATCATGTAATTAGTTGTAAGCTATTTATATATAATAATGTCTCCGTAGTGCTTTTTAAAACACACGGTTTATTCAAATGTCTCTTAGTCTCTTGTATTTCAACATGGTATCAGAGCCCCGTTTAAGATCCGGTGGGCCACCTTCTATGGTTTCCGCTATCGGGCCACCCACCATTTATTTCCACGCTTCAGTTGTTTATAAGTGGGGACAATCCTCACTCTACCAAACGGTTTTGTAGGGTTGAGTTAGGCCCAACCACATTTCTTAACATGGTATCTAGAGCTTGCTAAGAGGCAATTCTTTCTTCGCCGTGCTTTACCCGGTTGACCCACTGTCTCCCGGTGAGAAATTTTTTTTAAAATTTTTTTTTGCAAACTGTGTTGTCACTCCGGTTTGCCTCACTTTTCAAAATTCTCCGGTGACCACCTTGCCGCCACTGTCGCTGTTATTGTTCTGGCAAAACTTCCGGCGACGTTTCAGAAAGCCGATCTCACCATCAATTTCCAACATTCTCCGGTCATAACCGCATAGCCGCCGCTGTCGCTACTATTCTCAACGACCTTCCGGCAAACTTTTTCATCGGCAGAAACCTCCGCACGCGCCACCTTCGTCTCCGCGCGATCGATCGGGTGATATTTCTCTCTTCAGATACTCATGGCTACTCCTCAGAATTTTACGCCAAACTACGATGATTTCCTCAGGTGGTATCAAAATTATCAGAACTCAGATTCTACTGCTACGGTAGCACACACTGGTAATTTATCTGTTTGTCTCTCTCAATCATCTCCTCTTCGACCTTGGGTCCTTGATTCTGGTGCATCTGATCATGTTACTGGTAATAAAAATTTGTTCTCTTCTCTCTCTACCTCTGGTTTCTTACCTACTATAACTTCTGCCAATGGTTCTCAAACCCGATCCGAAGGGATTGGTACTGTTCAAATTCTACCTTCTCTATCTGTTACTTCTGTCCTCTATGTACCTAATTGTCCATTTAATTTACTTTCAGTCAGTCGTTTAACTCGTTCTCTTGATTGTAGTATCACCTTCACTAATAATAATGTTACCCTGCAGGATCGGAGTTCGGGAAAGACGATTGGCGTCGGATATGAGTCTCAAGGCCTTTACTACCTTTCATTGTCATCTCAGACATGCTCAACCAAAGATTCTCCACTCACTATCCATGCTTGGTTAGGTCATCCTAGTCTTTCCAAATTACATAAGTTGGTGTCAAATTTATCGAAGGTATCTAATTTACATTGTGAGTCGTGCCAGTTAGGGAAACACACTCGTAGTCAATTTTCCAGTCGAGTCAACAAACAAGCTTCGTCCCCTTTTGCTTTAGTTCACACCGATGTTTGGGGTCCCTCGCGTACTGTCTCTACTCTTGAGTCTAGGTATTTTGTCACCTTTATTGATGATTTTTCATGTTGCACGTGCTTATTTTTAATGAAGAATAGATCTGAATTGTTTTCTATTTTTGAACAATTTTATCGGGAAATAAGAACCCAATTTGGTTTGTCCATTCGTACCTTAAGAAGTGACAATGCACGTGAATATTTATCTCAACAATTTCAAACATTTATGTCATCCAATAGTATTTTGCACCAAACATCTTGCCCCCATACACCCCAACAAAACAGGGTAGCCGAACGCAAAAATCGGCACCTCGTAGAAACCACTCGGACCCTACTTCTCCATCGTAATGTTCCTCTCCGGTTTTGGGGAGATGCAGTGCTCACGGCATGTTACCTCATAAATCGCATGCCCTCATCTGTCCTTAATAATAAAATCCCTCATTCAATCTTGTTTCCAAACTCTCCACTCCACCCAATTCCTCCTCGAGTCTTTGGGTCTACGTGTTTTGTACACAATCTCTCCCCTGGTCTTGATAAACTATCAGCTCGCTCACTAAAGTGTGTCTTTCTGGGCTATCATCGATCTCAAAAGGGTTATCGTTGTTACTCACATACTCTACAACGATACCTCGTATCGGCCGATGTTACCTTCTTCGAGTCTATTCCATATTTCGAGTCCAGCCAAGTAACTACGGAACCTCTACAGGAAAGTATTCCCACACCTCTTCCGGAAGTCCCATCTGTCATTATCCCCCATCATTTTAGGGAACCTGACCCACTCGATACCCCTACGGTTGACCCCCCCACTCCTCGCCCACTTTAAACATATCAGCGTCGTCACCCAACGTCTGTCGTACCTGTCCCTGAAGTCGTATTTGTCCCTGAGGTCACCACGGACTCTCCTCCGACGCTCTCGCCATCACCGGATCCGATCCTGCATGCAACCTGAGTCTGATCTTCCGATTGCCCTTCGAAAAGGTATACGTCAAACACGAAATCCTTCTCCACATTATATTGATTTATGTTATCATCGTCTTTCCCCTTTGCAGTATACTTGTTTGTCTTCTTTATCTTCTGTTTCTATTCCTAAAACTTCAGGTGAAGCATTATCTCACCCTGAGTGGAGACAAGCAATGATTGATGAAATGTGTGCTCTTCAAAGCAGTGGTACCCGGGAACTGGTTCCTCTACCCCATGGAAAATCTTTAGTAGGTTGTCGTTGGCTTTATACAGTGAAGGTTGGTCCAGATGGCAAGATTGATCGATTTAAAGCTCGCTTGGTAGCCAAAGGATACACTCAAGTTTTTGGGTTGGATTATGGTGATACCTTTTCGCCTGTAGCCAAGATGACATCTGTTAGACTTCTTCTAGCCATTGCAGCCATTCGACATTGGTCTCTTCATCAACTTGACATCAAAAATGCATTCTTACATGGCGATCTTGAAGAGGAAGTATATATGGAGCAACCACCTGGGTTTGTTGCTCAGGGGGAGTCATCGAATATGGTTTGTAGGCTACACAGGTCTCTTTATGGTCTTAAGCAATCTCCGAGAGCTTAGTTTGGTAGATTCAGCACTATAGTACAACAGTTTGGTATGATCCGTAGTGAAGCTGACCATTCTGTTTTTTATCGTCACTCACCCCAAGGGTGTATTTATCTTATTGTGTATGTAGATGACATTGTCATAACTGGTAGTGATCAGCAGGGAATACTCCAGTTGAAACAACATCTCTCGAAACAATTTCAGACAAAAGATCTTGGTAAACTCCGTTATTTCTTGGGTATTGAAGTAGCCCAATCTAAAGATGGTTTGGTGATTTCTCAGCGGAAATATGCTATGGATATTTTGGAAGAAACAGGATTGTTAAATGTTAAATCAGCCGATACTCCTATGGATCCAAGTGTTAAACTACTACCCAATCAGGGGGAGCCTCTATCTGACTCAGGAAGGTATAGGAGATTGGTTGGCAAGTTGAATTATCTCACAGTCACTCGTCCGGACATTTCTTTTGTAGTCAGTGTGGTAAGTCAGTTCTTAAATTTCCCTTGTCAGGAACACATGGATGCTGTTATCCGGATTTTGAGATACATCAAATGTGCTCCAGGAAAAGGTCTTGTGTATGAGGATAAAAGACATACCCAGATAATTGGATACTCTGATGCTGATTGGGCAGGGTCACCCATTGATAGACGATCCACCTCTGGGTATTGTGTATTTGTTGGAGGAAACCTTATATCCTGGAAAAGTAAGAAACAAAATGTAGTTGCAAGATCAAGCGCCGAGGCAGAGTATAAGGCCATGGCAATGGCAACATGTGAACTTATTTGGTTAAAACAGTTGCTCAAGGAACTTCAAATTGAAGAAGCAAGACCAATGACACTTATTTGTGATAATCAAGCTGCATTGCACATTGCTTCAAATCCAGTCTTCCATGAGAGGACAAAACATATTGAGATAGACTGTCACTTTGTCAGAGAGAAGATCGAGTCAGGCGACATCGTCACAAGCTTTGTCAACTCTAATGATCAATTGGCAGATGTGTTTACAAAATCTCTACGAAGCCCCAGAACTAATTATATATGTAACAAGCTTGGTGCATTTGACTTATATGCTCAAGCTTGAGGGGGAGTGTTAATATTTATAAATATATATAGTGTTAAGAATATTTGTATATAGAATAGTCCCACATCGATTATATCATGTAATTAGTTGTAATCTATTTATATATAATAATGTCTCCGTAGTACTTTTCAAAACACACAGTTTATTCAAATGTCTCTTAGTCTCTTGTATTTCAACACCATCCATCAAAAAATCCATCCATTTATATGCATGGATGAATTCAATCCATCCAACATATTTTAAAAATCTAATGGATTATTTTTATTTTTGTTATATTATTTTTTTTTAAATAATTAAAAATAGATTTTTTAAAATCTAATTAAAAATAAATTTTTTAAAAGAAAAAAATTGTTTTTTTTTCAATAAAAAATTGTAATTTTTTCAAAAAAAAAAAGATCGATTTTTTTTCTGAAAAAAAAAATTATTTTTTTTATCTGCTTTTTTTGTCTGAAAAAAAAATCTGTTTTATTTTCTGAAAAAGAATCTGTTTTTTTCTGAAGAAAAAAATTGGTTTTTTTTGTGTGAAAAATCGATTTTTTTTTCAAAATAAAAAACTGATTTGTTTTTCGAAAAAAAGTCGATTTTTAAAAAAAAAATGGTTTTTTAAAGAAAAAACCAATTTTTTTTAATAAAAAAAAATTTTCCCGAAAAAAGACCAACTTTTTTAAAATACAAAAAACCGACTTCATAATTTTTTTTTAAATACAAAAAATGAATTTTTCAAAAATAAAATAAAATTGAATTTTAAAAATAAAAAAAATTTATTTATTCTTACAAAATAAATAAAAAAAGTTCGATGGATGGATATTCATCCATTAAAAATATGTTAATGAATGGATTGGATAGATTTTATTTTTAACGGATGGATTGGATTGGATAATTTTAAGAAAATTTTAGTGGATTGTTAATGGACTAATGGATTGTTTTAATCCATCCATTAACAATCCAATCCACATCCATCCAATCCATCCATTTTGCCACCCCTACTTAGAACCCATGTCAAATAAATCAATCAATCCACAAATTAAGTTGCCAAATGAAGACAAATTGGCTTGATCCCCTAAAGCTTATTTCCTCAGCCTAGCATTTTAAGGAATGAAGCCCCATTTTGTCTATCCTACCATATTTCTAAGTAATAAAAAAAAACAAGGAAGTCTTTAAATTGGAATTGGAAAAATTATAAAAGATACTTGTAAACTCCAAATAAAACCAAGGAATAATATTACGCAATGTTACAAATTACAGATAGAAGGAGAAAGAAAATAACATAAACAAAATCATAGTCGGAGAATTTGAAGAAAAATGTGGAAAAAAATTGTAAGCACTTATTCCCACTTACTTGCATATAGAATGTGTTGAAGTCATTATACCCATCCCTGCACCAAAAAATTGTTCAACAATCTTAATTCCGCCTGTTTTGAAAGGAGCCATAACAAACATATAAGAGGAAAAAGTTATTTCACACCATACTTCTTATAGTGAGGAGCATCCCTGTCCAAACGAGCAAGAGTACCAGCCAATATGGAAACCTGGAAGTAAGAGCCAAAATTATTATACAAAATTATTGGAATAAAATAAACCCAGGTAACACTATAAGTCAGGGTCCATCTAACATCAGTAAAGAGCAAGTGGTAACGATAAACAAGACTTAACCATGAAAGCATGCCAATTTGACCTACCAATGTTAGAAAAAATAATATTTGATGTAGATATTCAAAATTGGCAATGATGAGAAACAAAAAAAACACTCGGAACTAAAAAAACTGTGGAAGTCAACACTACCTTTAAGCTTTTTGCAATAATGTTCTATTGACATGGTCAATTAGCCGAGAAAACTATCAAAAGCAACAGAACTCGACTCAGTTACCCATGTTCTAGCAAGAATCAATTAAGAGAAAAAGAAATATGCAAGAGTGCAACAAGAAAGAGAGAATCTGAACTACTTAATGAAACATGCTTATCTAAGAGATCTAAACTAAAATGAATGAACAGTGAAACCAGAGACAAAATCAGAGAAGTGAATGTTGTTTGTACCTTCTCACCACTATCATTACCAACAACTCTGATTTCTAATCCAACACAAGCACCCTCAGGAGCAAGAGGTATCTCTTCATATTTTAGAAATTGTATAGCACTAGGATCATACCGATAGAACCCAAAATCATGTACCTATAGAAGTGTATCAATAGCCATACAGAAAAAGAAGAATAAAAGTTAATTCTCATATTATCAAAATAAACATTAATTCTCAGCACTAACTAACTAATCAAATAAATAAGAATTAGTCTATGTTTGGTAAAAAATAGCAGATAGTTGATAAACTAACTTATTGCAGATAACTGACAACTAATTGAATTTGTAGTCGTTGGTAGAATTATTGATTATACATATGTTCAATTAATATTTAATCTATTTAATTAAAATAACAAGAGTGAAATTAAAAGCGATAATGGTAAGCAATAAGCTACTTAAATTAGCTTATCAAAAATCGTTAATAAAAATAAACAATAAACTCATGAGAAAATGACTGTACCAAATGAATCTTTTTAGTCAAACAGCTTATAAGATATCCACAATATAAGCTAACTTATTATGATTTCCAAATAGACCCTCAATAAGCAGAAAAGAACAATCTGAGAACCAGAATAATTATTTATAGAACTTAAACATATGCACAGAATATAGTATGAGCAGGTCCCGAATATGAGTTTTACTATCATATAATACTGAAATTTGATTATCACAAATATAACAAAAGAGGAATCATTTTGTCATATTCACAATTTAAAAAAAAAAAAAATTGCGATAAGAAGGAATCACTCAATGAGAATATTATGATTAAGATAATAAAGGTGAATCTGAACCAAAGCTCACTCACTGGATCTCTGTATATAGGATGCACAGGAACTTCTTCGCGGTTCAAGAACATGGCTTCTGCAACAACAGGTCCTGCACATTCGAAACCGAAGCGAAAACAAGAAGTTAGCGAGAAGATGTTAACGCGAACTGAATATAAAAGAAAGAGAAGTAAGACTAGCGCACCAGGCTTGACGACGTGGCGATTGGTGAGGATAATACCACGGCGTTTATCGACGACGAAACCGGTAGCGTAACTGGCGGAAGCGGACTCAGTGTCGAAAGCACGAGTAGCGGTTATCCGAAGAACGACGACGGCGGGGACGACTTTGCTAAGAGACTTCCGCCAGTCCTCGGCAGTAACAGCGTTTTCCTGAAACGGTGGATCAATTTCCATGGAGAAGTCGTCGGTTTTAACGGCGGAGGCGGAATCCAAATCCCCCGATCCCAACCTCTCCGGTGGATCTTCCATTGAGTGATTAGGGTTGGATCGATGATTGATGTGAATCGGAGTGAAACTCAATTCAACTCAACTCAACTCAACTCGCGAGTGTGAACTGTGTGTGACGTCAACTCTACAGTCCAACTTGACTAAACTTGGTTTTTCTACTTAACGAGTTGCGTGTTTTTCCGGTGAGAACAACGCTGCCAATGAATTATTAATCCCACTCGTGTTTCATCTCAAATCAAAACCATTTCCTTCTTAAATTATTATTATTACTTGTTCATTGGTTTTTTTTTTCCTTAAATTATTATTATCACTTGTTCATTATTTTTTATTTTTTTTTTAACAATTTCTTATTACTTTCACGAGTTTCTTAAGAAAATTTTTGGTTGGGAGTAAATGAAGAAGAGGGGAGAGAAAATTTTTAATTAAATATATTTGGTTCAAATTTTAGGAGGAGAGCAAAATCCCTCCAAAACACATTTTTTGGTTCCCTCCGAATTTGGAGAATTTGGAGGGGAGATGAGAGAATACGAATTTGGAAAATTATTATATTTACTAAAATATCATCAGTTTAATTTCAGTATTTCAAAACTATTCGTTTTCTTTCGTGTTATTACTTTTTATCGATCGTTTCCATCAACTTATTATAATTATTCTCCACCTTCAAATTATTTTATAATTTCTATACATAATATAAATCATAATCATTGTCTTTTTTTTATAAAAAAAATTATGTTTAGTTATATTCGTTTTTTTTTTAATTTTGTTATGTATTTTATCATATTTTCTTTTATATCAAATTGTAAATCATTCATTTTATTTATTTTTGTTTATTCATTTTATTAAATATTTTGAACCAATAAATATTTAATAATAAGTTATTTTATATATTTGTTTTGTCATATGATTCATAATAATTTAAACGATGTTATTGGCATATAGTTTAATTTATGTTGAAAAGTTATAAGTCGAATTAATTGTACTCAATTTTTTAATTTTATTTGACAAATAAATACTTTTTTAATCACTCAATATTAGAATTTTGTTACCAACCAAAATACGCATGAACTTTTGACGTTTTAATATCATATGACTTATATAAGATTATAATTATAAAAATGTAAATTATTAATAAAACTTCTCCCCTCCCCTTCTGAATCAAACATTTTTTTAATTAAAATTCCTCTCTTCTCCTCCCCTCCTTACTTTTGAACCAAACATTTATCTGATTAAAAAAATCACTCACCTCCCCTTCCCTCCCCTTCATTAAAATCTCTTTCCTCCCCTCCCTCTCATTTGAACCAAACAGACTCAGGGTCTGTTTGGTTCAATCGAGGGGAGGGATTTTTATCAAGGGGAGGGGACGTGAGGGGAGGGATTTTAATTATATATATGTTTGGTTCAAAATATGAAAGGGGAGGGGAGATATTTTATTTACAAATATGTTTGGTTCACAAGGGGAGTTGAGGTATTTTAAAACTAATTTACTTTTTTATTCTTCTAATTTTAGTATAAGACTTGTGATATTTACCGTTTATAATTCAAATACAAATTTATTGACGAAATATAAATATTCAATCAGAGATCATCATGAAATATCTTATAAAAATGCAACGATTACAATATATAATTGGCTAAATTACAGTTTTGGTCCCCCTATTATTATAAACAAAAACATTACGATAACTAAAATTAACATTAAAATATGAAAAATAAAATAAAAAATTTAAATAAATATAATGATAGTAAGATGAAGATATAAAAAATACAAAAAAAATATAAAAAGAAAGATTAAATTTGTTCAAAATAAAACTTTTAACATTGTTATAAGTTAAATTTATATTTAAATAAATAATAAGGGTAAATATGTAAATATAATTATAATTAAAATCAAGCATCTCCCCTCCCCTCCAAATCCCTCCAAATCGGGGGAAGCAAAAAGTGGTTCGTGAGGGGTTTTGGTCCCCTCCATCTACCTCCCCTCCTCTTCTTAAAATTTGAACCAAACACATAAGTTATTAAATATTCCCTCCCATCCCATCCCATCCATTTACCCCCAACCAAACAGACCCTGAGACATCATATGAATTTTTTATATTGTCTTTAAGTTCAGAAATATATATTCAAACACACTCAAGAAATACCATTTTAGATGGTGCCTCAACATTTGCTAAAGATTTATTCCAGAGATATATCTCTGAAACCATATCGTAGTTATATTTCCGAAATAAAACCAGACACAGAAATAACTCAAGATGAACTTTCCAAACATAAAATGAGCATTCATAACATAAAACTAGCATTATAATGATGATTTCAACATCATCAACAAAAAAAATAAATACTACATTACAATGATGATTTCAACAGAAAATTAAATACTACATTTCAATATTCTGGTGGACGCTTGCACATCTCTAAGATATCATCGATCGATCTCCGTAGTGTCGCTTCCAACTCGAGCAGAACTTTCTCTTCAAAATCGATAAGTGTTCATCACATTGCCATAACCTCCGCTCGAGTCTTGAGCTCAAATTTGCTAAACACAATGTTCCCTTCGTTGTCAATTGATGGTGAACGGTAATCAAGATTGACAACTCTTCATGTGTCTCCGTAAGGTATGAGATAATGGATTTCGTCTATGATATCATCTAGGGAGGTGATATCGTTGAGCTTGAACGTCCTCCCGGGTGTAGAGACGTCGAAGGATGAGACACCTATGACATACCAACAAATGTTTATTTCACACATTTGAGATATTTTGAGTTTTTGTGAAGTATAACATAAGAACACCCAAAGTTATAGAAGACATAGTTTAATAAGGATCACTCATTGACTGTCATTCATACTCCGGATATATATCTCCGCAACGGAACCATACTATCTTGTTTCGAAGATGCATCTTCGGAGCTTTTCCTAAACCATTAAAAGATAAAGCAAATAAAAGAACCTCTCGGAGATGTATCTCTAGAACTTTTCTGATACATTTTCAAAACAGAATCATATGACACGGAGTTGAAAAATACCAAATATGCATGAAATATGAACCAAATATGAATAATATGTGAATATGTAACACTTCATTTATATTGAGACACACTTATAGACAATTATTTATCCGATAACAAAAAAAAATCAAAATGAATCAAAACATGTGTCGCCGGATAAATCTATAGGCGGTACCCCTTTGACTTTTGTACATTAGATTCATTTTCAATGTTGTTCAATTTATCAAATTCTTGCATCATCTCTATAAAATGATTCGGCCACATCTCAGCATTTGTGGTTGAATGAGTCGTCTATTCCGGTGATGTAGGTGGTATGGGGCTTCCCAGTTTCAAGTAAACTTGAACAAAATGACTTGATTTTGAAAGCCATCCAATACACATGATGCGATCATTTGGATTTTGGGTGGTGCGGTGCACAGTGGGAAAAAGGTTTTCGAAAACCTGTTGCGTGTTTGGTCAATGCACTCCCTATCATATGCAGATGTAGTTAGGTGACCCATATCCGGGAAGCTCATCCATTTTGACTCCGGTGTCGGACCGCTCAAGCAAGGAACAAGTGACTCATAAACCGCATTGAATTCTTCTTTTTTTTCTTCGTACAACTACGTGTATGATTCCTTATGTGTCTTCAACTCATGGATAAGTTGACGACGGACTAGCACACGACTATCTTCCCCCTTATCAAATAAATCTGAAATGGCTTGGTAACCGCAACTACCGTCTCCTGCAACATTGACGATACGATCGATATATTTGTGCATAAAAAACGGCATTTCGTCAATGAATGGAATCTTCAGTGGAAGCGACGTCGAAGGTGGTTTGCTAATTTGAGCACCTTTAACAACATTTTTTTGAGATTTTGGAGTCGGTGAGTCAAGAAATAATTTGTCAACATGTTCAAAGTATGAAGAAGACCGTGTAGTCGACAATTGTTGTATCTTAGTTCTATCTCCCTTTATCGCCTTGTTAGTGAGGTAATGAATGTTATACACTTGCTTGATGTTTGATATATTGTCGGTTTGCTTCTATTTCAATGTTGCAAGTATATTTTTTGGTTGGATAAGATTCAAGGTCATGCCACTAATACATACCTTATCCTCTGGCTTAAGCCGACATACACTAGGATGTCAGGCTAATTCTAAGTACAATTCATAATTATGCACACCACAAATGACATTAAATCTCCATTTTTTACTAGCCAACATGTAACCTCGAAGCTTAAATGAACGCTAATATTTTCTACTACCCGTATCTTCTCTCTTAAAATTTCGGAGAGGAGTTCGGTATTTCCCGCTTCTTTCGCACAACATAGTCACAAAGGCGCTTCTTCTATCCGAGTCATTATCCGACCTTTTGATAACCACGTCAAATACAAGTCTAAATACCACCATACGAATCCATTTGAGCATGTTATCACGATTTTCAAACTCTTGCTTATTGTTAAATTCATTGCGAACATATACCGCCTTAAAAACAACCCCTTAAACATTCGGAGAAACTTCGTTAGAAGAAACTACTTGTTTCGAGATATTACAGGGGTGCGCCATATCTATTGAAAACAATAAAAACAGTAAAAATAATTAATATACTGTTGCAGAAAAGGATGGAAAATTAACATAGAAACATTCTGGAAATACATCTCCAAAAAAGTTCATGTTTAGTACTTTCCGAAGATACATCTTCGGACACTATGTAATTTTTTCCAACAAAGTTTCATGATTAATGTGAGTAATGCAGAAGAGAATGAACAATCTTTACCTGAAATTTGATCTTCTTTTGCTCTTTGTGATATGTTGAACCAAAAGGATGGAGATTTTGAGTGAAAATTGGGATTGAGAATGTAGTGTTTTTAGGGCGAGGGTTAGAGTTGAAATGAAGAATGGCAACAATGGGGGACCGATCATGCAGCTTGAAACTATATCAGATACTTCCGAAGATATATCTCCAGAACAATCTAACATGCAAAGGTGATAGGAAAACTCAAATTGTCACTCACATTTTCTGGAGATATATCTC